ACAGCACTGATATGATTGTCTGTTTTGGCGAAGATAAGTTGTGATTTAGCTTTTGTGAATTAAATAAGAGTTGTAGGTAATTTTATAAGCTTTTCAGAACGTTCAGGATCACTGCATTTGGATAATTAGAACTCCAGTAATGAGTAAAACAAGTAGCTGTTGTTTGTGAAATATTAGATGCATTGTTGAAATAATTAATTACTTAATCAATAAGAGATATGCACCTACTCAGTAAACGCGATGTACCTGTTGTTACTTAAACCACATGCTGTTAAGAATATTTGCCAGAATGCATTCTTCATGTATCATCATACCACACTTGTTAACATATTTGCATTCGCAATATCTTATGCCATATCCATACATCTAGGATCGGAGGAAGAAATAACGTAGCTGGAATTCGACGAAGTAGAGGAAGGGGACCAGCAGGAGAATCCTCAAGTCACAGCTCCCGAAGGCGAGGAGCAGAATCCTGAAGAGCTTCCAGAGTGTCCTGACCACCGCCCTACTTCCTTTCTGCGAGGCAAGCCCCGGAGCATTTTAAGTCTCCCAGCATTTTACAAATGATTACTTAAGTACTTATAATTGATGCATTAGGTTATAAGAGTTGATTGGAACCCCTCAATGCATATGAATTCCTTGTCCAGATATTACACCTTGAACCGGTATAGGTTTAGGATTGAATATATGCTTAGCCATGCTTAGACCGGTAGAAGTCGGGTGATTTCCTGTCACCTGCGAGATATAGGTGGATACCGGAGCACGGTCGGCTATATTTGCTATCGTGGAACAGAACCATAGGGTAAAAGAAAATCGAGGCCAGGCGAAGTCTATGCGTAGGATGACTCATGAGATTCCGTCTGTGCCGATCAAGGACCATACCGTTGTTGGAACTTCTGACAAGATTGAACGCATGCCTATCACTTAGCTAGCCGGATAACTCGTTCCGACCGCGAAGCCGAGTAGCTCAACTCAGGTCGGGCCCCATTTTGTTGTGCGCTCCTTATGGGGGCGATCAGACTGAGCCCTAGGGCAGGCTAGGCCTGAACGTCCTGGCATCTGGTGTCCCAGATTGTGCGGCGCGGTATGGACCCACGAAATGTGTACCCGAGTTGTACCAAAGGTGACCTAAGGCTGCCTTCGCGTGGTATGCCTAGGTTTGTGTTAGGAATAAATTCCCAACTGGTTGAAATCGATTCGAATCGCCGTCTCTCCCGGATAGTGAGAAACTTGGCTAGCTCCAACATCGTAGTAACTGTGTTATGGAACATGATGGTTCGGATGAATATGGAATTACAATACCTGCTATGGTTACTATTGTATGCTCTTAAATGGATATACCACATGTTTGGCATAGGATAGTTGCTAATCTAGAGATGGATAGTTATAATTAACCTAATATTGGAACCATAATTGTATAACTAAGTTAATCGCTTTTATGCAAAATGTTGTCAAGCTATCCCCACTTATACAGCCTTGCATAATTTTTGGAGTCGAATTATTTCTGGTTTATGACGGGTAAGTCTAGCTGAGTACCTTCTCGTACTCAGGGTTTTATTTCCCATTATTGCAGATGGCACTGTGTATCATGGTTATTGCAAGAGTTGCTTCTATCCCGCTGTGGATGAGGAGTAAGCCTTGGACAGGCTTCTTATTAATCCTTCTACATGCTTTTGTGGACCGTGATCGTATTTTGGCACTGTATTAAACTATGTTGGAACCTTTACTTTCAAACCTAATTTGCTTCCGCTTTTATCTACCAACTCAGTTTGTAATATCTGTGTTTCATACTCTGATGATGAAAATATATCTGTGAACTTTATGTAATATGTGACATGTATGTTGAATCATATACGATCTTAGTTGTTGTCAATCGTTTATCGAGACCCGTTGTGGTACTCGACAGACTACCGGGTTTATATGGGCTCAAGTATGACAGTGCGACCGCCTGCGGGCCGCCATTGTACTTGTGTTCTTATAAATTGGTCGGTTCTGCGACACCCGAGGCCGAACTGGCCTGCCTTGCGTTCTTAGGCTGTCGTCGTCTCCTCCTCGTCTCCCGTCTTCCCAACCAAGGCAGAATCCTGAGCGCCCCGCCGCCGTCGCTCGACGACACGTACCGACAGGAGAAGGTGATTACTCCTTATTTTAGGGCATTATAATCGCAAATGGTTCTCTCGTCCGCCTCCATTCTCTCATCAGAATCTATGAATCGGTGGTACCTCTTTCTGCGTGCATTGAGGACGGATCGGGCAACTAGTGAATTCATCGCGCTAAGGCCAGTTTCAGTGGAGAGTTTAATTACGTTGTTTCTAAGATGGTAACGTCATGTAGAATAAAATAAAATATGGATGAAACACTCATTCTCAATGGTGAGTTTCATTCTAGAGTTTTATAGACATTTAATTTCATGATGCATATAGAGTTGGTATTCGTGCTAAGAGAGTTTCATTCCCACGAAACTCACTTCTTCTCTCTCTTATTAAAAACCTTATCATATCATCAAAAGCGATTATGTGACAGCTTATTAAATACAAATGAAACTTTGATGAAACTCCCACTGAGACTGGCCTAACTAGCATCGCCCACCGTGTGCAGGATGACTCACCCCTCTACAGTCACGCAGCTGCTAGTTCAAGAGCCAGCAATGGAAATGAGCCTTTTATCTATGTGCTATTACGAAAGATGCTCCATGTCTATAGACCACTAAAAAGTTCAAAGGAACTCTGGTGCTATGACGCTAAACTTTCTTATCTTCCACGCCATTTCATCCGTCTTGTGTTAGGTTTTCATCGTTTGACAGCCCTGACATGCCGACCCGATCAGTGATGATGTCCAGAATACTCTTCTCTCGTAACCCTGTCCTCTCCCTATCTCTCTATCTGGCCTGTGTGGCCAAACTATAAGTGACCCGGTCACCCTCTTCCTCTAAGTCCCTCCGTGAGTTCACGAGCGACCCGACAAGCACCGCGAAGCTCGTCACCAGGTTGCCCGTGTCCAGCTGCCGCGCCACGCGGCCACCTCCCTGCTCGAACGCCACCAGATTTGCGAGCAGCACCTTAGCACCCTAGTCGAGCACGAACGTTAGCACGCGCAACACGCCATGCCGCAAGCTGACGTCGAACAATGCTAATGCGGCGGGCGTTGTCGCTATCGGCGGCTGGGAGATGGAAAGTTACATAGCCCGCAAACACCTCAATGGCGAGTTTTCGTTAAGGACTGAGGCGCACACAAACACAAGGCATCGATTAGCGGTGGGATTACAAGGTTGTACTAAGAGCATCTCCAAGAGTTCCCTAAACATCCTCCTAATCATTATTTTTTAGAAAGATGAGAAAAAAACCCTCTCCAACGACTCATAATATTTACTCCTAATCTTTTAGGACTTGGGAAATTCCTCCCCCTTTCGCGTAACTTTACGTGGACGAAGCCACGCACGGAGGGCGGCGGCGTCACGGGGGCGGGGGCCAAGCCAGCGCAGGACGTCGACGTCGCTGGTGGCGTAGAGGAAGGCGGTGGTGACATAGCCGTGGCCCGCGAGGCCCAGCGCCGGGAGCAGGCGGCGGAGGCCGTGGACGCAGGTGCCACAGTGCGGGGACCAGTGCCGGCGGTCGAACGCGTCATAGGTGGCCTGCACGAGGTCGCCGTACTTGAGGAGCTCGTCGCGGAGGCCGGCGTCGAGCGGGTCGAGAAGCGCTGACTAGTCGCGGCGCCGGGGGAAGGCTTCGGCACCGGCACGACCATCGGTGATGATCGGATGCGACTCAGACTTGGCAGCGTCGTCGCCGATGAGGTGGAGGAGAGCAGCGAAGGCGGGCATCATGAGCAATGGCCCTGTGGCAGCAGCAGCACACTCCCACTGCGTCCCCGCGCGGGGGGTCCGTGAAGGCAAGGCCAGACGGTTGCAGTGGCTTGTTGGCGACGCCGATGATTGGTCCGCGCATGTGTGCTGTGCTTTGTGCTCACGTCCGCGGCCGTGGTGACCGTCGGCGTCGGCGCAGTGCTCCTGCAAGTCGAAGCGAGGGAGCGGCTCGATAGCCTGGCCGGCAAGGAACATCGTGGGTAGGGAAAAGGCTCGGGCTTTGGCAAGGGAAGGGCTCACCGCCGTGGCGAAGGTTCGCACGGTATGCGCGTGACCTGACTGAGTGGCCGGCTACGGCGTCGTGGCGACAAGGGAGAGGGCAGAGAATTGGGGTCCGTGCAAGTGCAAGGCCATGCGGGCGGGTGTGTGAAACGCTGGAGCGAGACGCCTTCGCGAGCGTCAAGCCGCGGCGGTGTCGTGCTTCAGCCAGCAAGGAACACATGAAAAGGAGGTGGCTTTGGTCCGTGCAGGGCGGTGAGGCGGCGTCCATGGCGCACCGGTTCGCGATCTGTGGCCGCCAGTGGAGAGAAACAGGGGAGGCGCGGCGCATCATGGGTGTTCGACGACAAGCTCAGAAGAGCTGGGCGGCGTGCCTGCTCTCTCTGTCTCAGCAGCAGCAGCTGGAGGAGCACTCGTACTCTGTTTGGTGCTATGTGTGCAACTATCGAAGAAGTACTGGTGTGACGGCGACGGCGACGACGCGCGGCGATGAAGAGGTTCGCGTGGAAAAAAGAAGACTGTAGAAAAAAAAACGTCAAATGAGATCAGCATTTGATTTTTTAGAAGTCAAATATTATGAACTATTGAAGATAAACTTTTTTTTTTTCTCCTAAAATCTTTTTAGAATTGGTAAACATATACTTTTTAGAAGGAATATTTAGAGAAGTCTCGGAGATGCTCTATGTAGAGAAACTATTTGTGCGACTGACGGGGTCCGGATTTCTGCGGTGCTTAACCGGTCCACGCGGTGAGCGACGCAAGACTGCGGAAACCACAAATTATTTATTACACATAACATGGGCTAATGGTGCCTTACATTATTCCCCTTTTCCACTTCAGATGGGCATGACATGCTGCCCACAATTATTCATTACTACAGCATTATTACCTTCCACAATACTAGGGATGTTCTGGCTGCTCATTTCACAAGTCCCAGGTTGGTGATGCCTGCTGCAGTACGAGGCCACTCACTCTCCTTGGCCTTGTCCAGCATCACCCTACCCCAAGACACCCAGGATTCCCATGTCATCCTTTTGTCCCAGCTGACGCCCCATTCCAGCAGCAACTTGAGCCCTTCCTCGGCCTCTTTCTTCGCCTCTGCGTACCTCTCCATGTTGAGATACAGCTGTGCAGTAACCAGGTAAGGCTCTCCTACAAACGGGTTCTTCTGAATACTCTCCAAGAGGACCTTCTCCACTTTCTCCCAGTCTCTATCCTTCCTGTCATCGCTGCATATGGCCTCCCAGTAAAGGTCCCTTGCAGCTATCTGCTCCTTGGGATCCAGCACCTTGGTGCAGTAGTTAAACACCGGTGGGATCACCAGCGTGATTTCTTCGTCTCGAAAGGGTAAGAATTCCTAATGTTTAACTTAATGCGTTGCACCAGCTTTGGACTTGGGTTTCATTTACTAACCACATCGAAATGCTACATAGTGTTCATGCTGCAAGTTATTTGTCCTGTACAAATTCCAGTTCATGCCTCTTAATTTTTCCTCTCTGAATTGGTTCCATGTTAGGCTTAAGAAGGAATCCCTGTTAGAGAAACATTTAATAGGAAAGATTACTCACTGTTCATTTCTTCAGTCTTTGATGATATAGTCATACTAGAAACTTGATTGCTTTTGGTTTGAATTATCTTTTTTCATTATGGAATATTCTGCCTACCTTATATGCATAGGTGCACAATTTATAGCAAATAAAACCAAAAAGACATCTATCCACCTTTACAAAATGAACCCACATGGCAATCTAATCTCTCATCCTGTTCAGTTTAGTTATGTTTTGTGAAAATAATCTTTACGCTTCTGATTGCTAAATCATTGGCATCAAAGGTATGGAATAGGCTGCTGTAACGTTTTATTTTTTTTGTGTTTTCGTTACTACTCCAGCGACTCCTTGATGAAAAGGGCGACACCAGGGTGCCAACTGCAAATCAGCTCTATGGGGTAGCATTTGTAGAATAACTAAAGATACCATTTCAAGAAAAACATTAGAGCATCTCTAAGAGTTTGCTATCTCAACTTAACATCCATATAATTTTGGCAAAACAAGAAAAAATAGCTTCCAACAGTTTGGCAAAACAACTTGGCATCAATAGCAACTTGGCAAATCTTCCCTCCGCGCGCGCAAATATACACGCGCGTATACGGCTTGGCATCCGGGGCTCTTCGTTTCTTAGCGGGGCTCTTCGTTCGCTTAGCGGGCCTCTTCGTTTTGTTAACGGGGTTTTTTATTTTACCAAGTCAAAAATGCCAAACTCTTGGAGATGGATTGTTTTTTTACTTGGCATATAATTTTGGGAGTTAGCAAATCACAAGATTTGCCAAGTAAAATTTGACAAACTCTTGGAGATGTGTAATTTGTCCAATTTTTATCCTTTTTTTAATATATACTTAAAAAATGACTTGCAGTTTATATATTTTTTGCATCTTAATACACAATTAGTATAACTATTATCAAGGATTGGTATTCTCGCCCCGTGCGGGGGGGGGGGGTTGTTGTGCTGACTAGTTATTATTAGGGTTGACTGTTATGTGAATCTGAAAGAGAAAGCATGACCAAGTCATCATAGATAACTCGTCTGACCTTTACAGGTCCACCGGGTTAGTGACACATACGTTCATGCATATGTATGTGTCTCAATTTAACTAGTTAGGTTAAAGAAAAGGCGAAAGATAAAGTTAGCCATACACAGTCGTATATCTGGGTATTAGGCATATCCTTGTATGTATAGGTATATATTCATTTTAGGTGATTGTGTACGGATATATTCGAGTATGTGTCATGGTACATGCACATACGCGAATATACGGGGTCAACTATTACTATGGTGATGGCTAGTACTATAATTAGTATTTAAATTAAATATAGAAATGGAAAAGCAATCATTAAATGGGCACCAAATAATAGAACAAAGGGCATGACTAAGTAGAGCTTGATTTTAGATGAATTTTAGAAGTGGTTTCATGCGAAAAGGAGTTAGGATGCAATAGTTATGCATTTTAGAAGTTTATACTATAGTTAACTAACTAGGTAGAATTTTATATGCATTTTATGGTGCATGAAAATATGTGCAAAATATATGATTAAACTCCCTAATGCATCTAGTTTATTTATAATTTTTTGGGGAATTTTTCTAAGCTAGGAGGATGTATTTTTAGCTCTCTGTGTACACTAGCCGGGTGTACCCAGCGTTTTCTAACGTGTACCCCACGCTATGTGTGGTGTGTGCGTGTGTGTGCGTGTGACAGGTCAGCCACCCTACCACGTCAGCGGGGACGGCGGCAGCGGCGTTATGGCCATGGGCCCACGTGACAGTGAAAGAGGGAGAGAGGGGAGTGACGGACGGGGACTGACGGCAATGGCAACGCTGTTTCGTGCCTGGTCCCGCATGACAGAGACAGAGAGGGGGAGAAGAGGGAATGGCGGTGGACGGAGGCGACCACCATGACGTTGAAATAGGATAGGGAGGCCCGAGCTCACCGAGTTGATCACGCTGGCGGCGTCGGCCCTCGGTGGTGACGGGTGATAGGTGTACGGTGTTTGTGGAGTCACGCCGCAGCCGATGGTGGGGTTGTAGTCGACAACAGGTGTCCACAGTGGTGGTGACGATTCACCGGAGAGGACGCGGCGGCGCTGCGCAGCGAACTCGGCCTTACGAGCCTCAACCGAATTAACCGATTACGTGTACGTGAGTGTGGGTGAGCGGTGAGTGCGGTGGGGGTGGTGTAGTGCCCTGAGTGGCCTTGCCGGCGATATATGGCTGATGGCCATGGCGGTTTGGCGCAGCAGCGCGACACATAGAGTTAGACGACCAACTAGCTAGCAGGAAAGGTAGAGAAGGGATCTGGAACTCACCATTCACTCCAATCGGCCAAAGACGCAGCGGGGGATAAGAAGAGGGGAGGCGGCTCCAATGGCGCTGACGAATCCCGATTTGGGGAAAAGTGGAAGAAGGCGAAAAGGAGGGAAGAGGGGAAGCGGAGGGGGAAAAGTGTGTTCCCGCCTCGGCGGAGCTGATGGTGAAGAGGGTGAGGCGAGAGCGTTGACGGCCAGACCTATTTATAGGCCGGCTAGGTAGGTTCTCGGTGGCGAGATATTTTCTTGTTGCCACTCTTATCCACCACGCGCGCTTGTGTTTGAACTTGTTAGGTCGTTTCGCCACACTGGGCGCTTGCCCACGCGCGTGGCAAGCTGCCTTGGTGGCTACTCTGATGGCTCAGCGCGGAGGCGACCATGGCGCCAACATTGACGAGTTCACAGTGAGGGGGAAGAGGGGAGGCAAGGAGAACGCGTGGGGTCCTGGTGTCTCGGCGTGTTGCCCGTTTACCATGCTGGCATCAAGGTGGAGTGGGGCGCGACAGTGGAGGCGTTGACGCGTGGCGCTGTGCCGCATACGGCTGTCGACCGCGAGGTAGGCGAAGGGGCTGACGGGTGGGACCCGAGCAACGACGAGAGAGAGGGAGAGAAGAGAGGGGCGCGGGTGAGGCCGGGCTGGGCGTGTTGCTGGGTTGCCGCCGCCGCTGCGCTCGTTGGACCGGCCCACGCGGGAGAAGGGAGGGGGAGGGGGGAGAAGTGGAGTGGGCTGCTGCGGGCCAAAGGGGAGAGGGAGAGAAAATGAACCCGGGAGGCTTTTATCCATTTATATTTCCTTTTCTTTTTCACATAATAAACCAAGGCACATTTGGAGTGAATTCAAATTGGTTTTGAAATGTGAAAGGCTTGATAAATCAAAGGGGAGGTCAAGGAAAAGTATTTGGTGGAGAATGTTACAGGGAAAATGTCAAGGAGAATTATTTGATGCCAAAATAAATTCTAGAGCAAACACACATGCAATCGCACATTCAAGCACTCATGTCATTCAAACAACCAAACCAAACTTTTCAACACAAATGCATATGGTGAATTTTGATGCAAGGGTTTTTAGGAAAATATATTTTATTTAAAAATGGTTTTAAGGAAAATAAATAGTCAATGTTTTAATTTGTTGTAAAGTTTTAAAAAGTTTAAACTTTTAGTGGTTTTTAACTTGATGCAAAAAAAACAGGTGTTACATTCTCCCCGAGCAATTGTGCCGCCGCCGCCTCTAATTCCTCCACCCGACAGATTAGCTCCTCCCCAGCCTCTGACCCACCTTGGGCGACGCTCCGGGGCCGCCAGGGGGAGCTACGACCTTCAGCGCGCATCTCCACCACTGGCTCCATGTGAGCCCATCGCTTTGACCACCGGTAGAGGCGGCAGGCTGCGGGCTTGTCAAAGGCCCCGCGGTTCCCAATTGCACGCCGGGTAGAGGCGGCGGCGGCAGCGGGATGCGGGCAGCCGTGAGGTGACGGTGTCGATGGGGCAAGGGCGAAGGGGCTTCCGTGGTGCGTGCATGGATCGGGCGACGATTTGAGCAGCGGTTGTGCGCGTGCGGTAGGGAAGGAGGGTGGGAGCTGGGCGTCGTGCACGCTGGGGCGGCGATTGCGCGTGTGGTAGAGAGAGCGGGGCTAAAGCTAAATGCGTGGGGCGGGGTGATTAGCGCGGGTGGAGTGATTAGCGGGAGCGAAGCGATTATTGCTAATTAGACGATGGTCCTATTCGCTTGTCTTATGAACCGTACTATTTCAACAAACAAATAGTATTTTTCTCTCATAATAAATTAACGAACGATATTTTTAGTCATAATTTTTTAGATAGCGAACCTGTCCCATGACTTGGGGGTTATATTCCCCTACGCATCGCGTGGAAAACCAGCGGCGGCACGCGCCCCGTGGAGGCCAAAAGCGGATACCGGCCAAGGCCATTGGCAGACAGAGCACGACCGGCACCAGGCAGTCTCCCAGGGACACGTGAAACGACGTTCGCTTACCGTAACAGTAGCTGAAGCGCTGGTAAGCCTCCAATTTATTCGCGTTTGAGAGTTAACTAATGTTATTTACATAAGTATTTAGCTCTCAAAAATGTTTTTACATGAGTATTTGGACATATTGACAAGTACTCTTTCTTTTCCAAATTGTCTTGACCACCTTAGTCTTTTTACTACTACAAATTTGATTTGCAGGACAAATCAAATTTCTAGAGACCACTCACTTTGACAAAAATATTACTGTCTTTAAAATAACGGACTTGCTAGTACCCGACGTCCGATTTGGTCATTCGGACAGGGTCGGACGGGCCGCATCGTCTCGAACGTCGCCCGCTGCTCCCGGACGTCGCCTGTGCATACCATGTGCAACACTCGATCTATTTTTAAAACATTCAGATGCAACAGTTGCAACATACAAAAGAAGATAAATGAAACACTTGAAACATGCGTCTTAAACACTTGAAAACCATTGCAAACATATGCAACATCCAAATGAAACACTTGAAAACATACTCTTACAACATGCATGTACATGCAACATCCAAATATACTTTTGCAACATCTAGATGAAAACACTTGCACACATACGTCTGATACGAAGGAAGCATTTGGAACATACACTTGAAACAT